TCGGTGGCTCCACCTCGGGCTTTTGCTACTGATTTTTTTTTTCACCTTCGGGCATAAGGGATTTTTTATTCGCCTTATTTTTCTTATTACTTTATTTAAAGCTGCAGCATTGAGCGAAAGATTTGCCGGTCTCTCACTACTTGCTTCTTCTATTTCTTTGGAAGGCGCTGTAGTGGTTAGTGTACGTTGAGTAGAAAGCCCCTCTATAAGCTTTGGCACTGATTGCTCTAATATAATTTCGGTAAACATAGAATACACAGTCAGAGAATCAAGTGATTCCTTTAGTGCCAGTTAGACTTGGACAGAATCGCTTTCCGACTTCTTCTGGCATTCTTTTTCCTCTTCCATCGTAGTTTCAATAACATCAAGTAAGGACTGACCCTTGCAGATAATTTAACTTTGAACCTTGCTATTCAGATTATTGTCAAGATTTTTAATATAAGCTCCATGATTTTCTTGAATTAGTTTGGTTCTGGAGAGTAGACAGTTACTTGTAGCCTCTTTGGATAAATCTGCCCTATCATAATGAAAGCTCTTTCTAGCCCTTTAGTCCCCCTGGCATCACGTCTTTAAGACCTTTGGAAACCCTCTTCTTCACAATCTTTCACCTCCATTTCCTCAATGTGTCCTTTCCCTCTCTGTACTGAATACTTTTCTTCTACAGGATTAGTAACTACGTGATCCAAACTAAACCTACCTGTCCAATTAATTTGTTTTCACTATTTACACAAAATAAAAATTAACAATTTAAATATGTCCAACTACATGCAAAACAACAAAATAAAAATTGAAACACAAAACAAATTCACGAAAACACAATGTAGCCTTAAGAGCAATCTGGAATCACAACTTCACGCTGATCGACCAGCTGTCCATTACTGTGGGTACCATGGCATGTGGGTACACGGAAATGAAAATGCCGATCAAATTACCTGAGATATCCCCTAACCAATTAAAATTAACTTTAAAGTCACTAAAACAGAAATTTTTCGTTTTCTAAGCAAAACCATTGTTAATGAATGGCAGAATTTATATGACCGTGAGTCTCAAAGCAAAGGGAGAGACCACTTAATCCACCTAAAAATTTCTTTAAAACCGTGGTTCGCCTCTATGTGAATATTTTTGGAAATAAGTGAGGTGGCAAATCTAATTAGATTGAGAACCAATCACTGGAATACAAATAAATCCTTAAATTTGATCAAAATTAAGGCGATAACCAATTTTGAGCTGTGTAATGAAGTCGAGGATCCATTACATTCAGAAATACACGATAAGCGGTTTAGCAATGAGAGGTGTATAAAATATATCGAGTGGCCAGCACTCAATATTACTAAAATAATAAAAGAACGAAATCGAGAAAGACAGAATCAACTTAAAAAATGCATAATAAAAACTAAATTACGGTTTTAATTATTGAAAAAAAAATAAGAATGCCGAGAAATACGTACTTGAAGGCATTTATCACTGAATCCAGAGAAGATGCTAGTGTGGAGGAGATACTGAAATTAGACACTACGAAAAAAATAAACCAACTGTATCATTTCATACAGGGCTGTTCATTGAACTGTTAAGTGGTAAAGTTAATCATATAACATATATTAATTCTTATTTATATTGTCATTTGTCTTATACCTCTCGAATATAAAAAAAAAAAAAATAAATAAATAAAAAATGTTTTACTAATTGTTATGTGTATATATATATATATATATATATATACATACATAACAATTCGTAAAACTTTTTTTATTTATTTATTTTATATATATATATATATATATATATATATATATATATATCGTTTACTAATGTTATTATATTAGTCATACTTAATGCTGTGGACATTGTTAATGTTATGTTTGAATGCAGTACTAGACTCAAGATCTAACATTGTTAAATATACCATTATATTTATTTGTACAGGAATTTCCTTAGACAAATAAAATAAACTATCTATCTATCTTATTGAAAAAAAAAATAAATAACTGGCAAAATAGAATTTTGCGTAAAATCTTAAGGCCACAAAAAAAAAACTAAATAACAAAAAAAAAAAAACTAAAACCATCTGGGTACGCTTATTCTCCACCTCAGCATATTCTTCTTGATTTGGCATTCTCTAAGATCTCCATACGGTTTGGCTGAAGGATGTTTGACCAACTCAGTCGCCTGAGGTAGTACATCCATATCAAACAAAAGAACTACTATTTGAAATTTGGTTGTACTATTAGAAATTTGTGATCGCGAGAAACAGCATCCATTTGACAAAACCATAACTCGGATTCAGTCTTCCAAAACTATGAGGTTTTATGGTCTGTAAAATAAATAGCTAACACTTTGGGCTTCTCTTCCTACCTACCTGGGATCCTGAAGAAAAATAAATCGATAGATAAGATAAGAAACTTGCAAAACTTTTAAAGCCAAATAAATAATATTCAAATTTTCCTTGCCAAACGATTGTATATAATTTCAAGTATGGTGGGAATGACTCTGTAAGGTGTTGAAATGAACGCTCTTTAAGCTACGTCGGGGTTCCAACTTATTTCTACCTGCACGTAATAATAAAATATCTTATACTGATCAATTAAAATAATAACTTTTTTATAAACTTTTATTTCCTTTTAACAATTTAAGACAACACATATAGTAAATATAGAACTCATGTAACTTCTTGATCCTGGTGTCTTTAGTACTGTGAAAGTTTTATATTTATAACGAATAATAAAATAAAACTATTTTATATTTATTTTTAATTTATAACCTCTCCTACTAATCATTATTTTTTTTTTTTTTTTTTTTTTTTTTTTTTTTTTTTTTTTTTTTTTTTTTTTTTTGTCAATTCCCTAAGAACTGTCCCTTCTCGTTTTTGTTTTATAATCGATCTTGCATCTTGGTTTATTTTTCAATATTGGATTCGTTCTTAATTCTGCGTGTCGCAGTTATTAAACTAAAGTGATTTCTCGGTGACATCTTGTTTTCATTGGTTTGGCTAAATGTTTATTTTTATCACTATTTTCTAACCGGTGCATATATATATATATATATATATATATATATATAAAACAACGCATAACATAGAAAAGATAGCAGTAACCTGCTAAATCGAGAAATGTAACCAAACTTTATCATATTTTAATGTTAGATGGCGCCTGTTCTGCTCAGATTAAATAAAAATCAGAATCGAAAGGGGCCCGTTCACTGACGAACATGGTTGTGTTATTGTTGAAGTTGGTCCGTGAATGGGTATGTTGGTCAACCAGTTCGATATTTGTGGGTGGGACTTAATGCTGTACCAGCAAGCAGGTCTGTGTATGGACATGTTGGACAAACTGCGCGTCAACATCAGTCTCTCCCGCCTCTTTTCCAAACATTCAAAAAAGTTGAATCTGATGCTACACTTGACATATTGAAAAAAAATAGGAAACATAAGGAGGCGCAATCTTTGAGAGTTGAAAAAACATAATTAAAAGTCTGGAGCAGGGGAAAATAACTATACCAACCCAACATTTTGCACTTTAAAGAATTTTATAACTAAGGATCAACCATGTACCGTTCCAGTGCTTATCTATCATAGAGTACATGTGACGGCTCATGGCTTATGGCCTACATGGCTCAGCCCGATCCGACCGAGAGTTGTCAAGATGAAAGTGACGAACCGCATGCTCGTTGCAGCCGATTGCTCCTTCTCATTTCTTCAGTCTATGCTCTTCTGTTGAAGCGCTTATGTCTAGTGATTATCATTATTATGATTATTTATAAAATGGAATCGCAGACTAATTCTCTTACCCTTTTGGGTACTACCGAAATCCTATATTGTGGAACCCCTGGGACGAATTAATCATAACCCTGACATTATCCAATACATATACATATGAAAATACTCAGAAGAAATTCTTATAATTTTTACTTTCACTTACGTATATATGTAATATATAGTAAGGGTAAGTATTGCGATCTAGAAATTTTTTTAATTTGAGTTTTCAACGGAAATACACGTTTTGAAGTACCCTGAGTCGAAATGACCAAGTCCCGAAAAATGGTCTGTGTCTGTGTGTTTGTATGTTAGGAGTCTAGCTCAAAAACGAAAAGTCTTTCGAAACTGATATTACGTATTTACGATAGGTATATGCCTTAGATGTGACAGCAACTTTTTCCTCAAAATTGGCTGACCGGTAGTGCCACTTTATATCAACGCTGAAACACATTTTTATAATTTTCTCAAAAACAGCTCTAACGATTTTGATTAAACTCGGTGTATCATTTTATAATGAAGTAATCTTTAATATCAATTAGGTCTTATCCTCATTGATGTCACTTTACAGGGCTTAAATGCCCAATGTTCATATACGTCTTCCTCTAAAGTACCTTTAATATGGTTTATTTTAAAAAGTTAATCATTTCACATTATTCAGAGTTACGAAAAAATGCTAAATATAACTTTTAAAAGAATTTTGATAAGTTAATAAAGGAGAAAAATAAATAAAAATGCAGGAAAACCTGCCTTGCTATAGACTGTAGCGCCTAAACGAATGTACCGACTTCAATGAAACTTGGCTAAAATCATTTTCTCGACACACTTTAAATTTATCTATATAACATACTTCAACGAAAAGAAGCTGGAAAAAAAGTTACGAAGGATGGTAAAATTAAATTCCGAATAATTCAAAAAGTATACACTTTTTTGTGGATATTGCATTATGGTTTTTTAAAACTTTACGGAATTTCCTAAAAGACAAAATAAATTCATTAAAATCGGACAAGTAGGAGGAAAGATATGGTTCTCTAGTTGTTGTTTTTTTAATATGTTCTGCTGGAAAGGTTATATCTTTTTTTTTTTTTTTTTTTTTGTCACATCCTTACTTACATACTTTTTATGCTAGCTTTATTATAGCTTTTATGCAATAGATAAAATTAAAATATAATATAGTGATATATAACAGATAAAACAGCTGATCCCTAACCTCTCCACCCCACTCCCTCTTTAAATAAATCCAGTCTTGTATGAATACCTTAGTGAGGAGCAACAATCTTCTTGATATCGTCTGCGAAAGAGGTACATAAATCGAGAACTAATAATATTCTTTTTAGAAATAATTTTAACATTCTATTTTAATTAATTATTTATGTATTACAACTTTTTAGAAGTGGAAAAACGACATTCTATGAAATAAAAGAATGACTAAAGGACGAATCATATTGCAATGATAGATTTTAGAAATTGTATGGTGGGGTGCATGGTAGGTAGATGATATAAATTTAATTTAAAAAAAAATTTTATAAAATAAATTTTGGACTATTTATATTACTGATAGTTGTTAAATAATATGTGTCTGATAAGGATGTATTTTGAATTGTAAAAACTGAATTAAAATTAGTTTTGCAGGATCTTGAAAATGGCTGCTGAAGCCGAAACGTCGAATAAAGAATACAGGATGTAAAAACTGTGTACATTTGGTGACCTTTGGCCTAAAATATATATTAAAAAAAGTTATATCTTTAGTTTTGGTTTTTGAATTTTGAATGTGTTACTTAGGTAATGCTAATTGTTTTTGCATATTACTAATGATTAAAAAAAAAGTTTAGCCCATTAATTTTTTTTTTTTTTTTTTTTTTTTTTTTCCTACGCCTAAGTAACGCCTGCTTCGTTAGCCATGCGTGCTCTTGCAGTCCAGTACAACTTTGCTCTCCGAGTATAATAGCTGTCCATTTCATTGAAGCAACATCTTATGTCCTGTAATGCAGGGCATGTATCCAGATGTTCTCCTGTCATTATGTCTAAGGAACATAGAGGGCATGTCGGGCTATCTTTTACACCGATGCGGTGGAGGTGCTTCTGAAGGAAATCGTGGCCTGTCAGCATTCTAAAGCATGCCACGGCTTGCCATCTAGGGAGGTCTCTAGGAATCCTGCCACTTTCTTCCAGCAATCCACTCCATCGTTTCCCTTCAATTGTTTGTACATATTTCGCTTTCAGTGAACTTTGGAGGGTCTGCTTTATGATTCTTTTTGTTGAATCCATGGTCAGAGGAATATCGGGTTGGATCATTCCAGAACCTATTCTGGCCAGTTTATCAGCTTCATCATTTCCGTGGAGCCCGCAATGGCCTGGTATCCACTGGAAAGCGACTTCTGTCCCATTTTCCTTTAATTGGTTCAAATATTGATGGCATTTAGGAACATTTGGATTTATACTATATCCATTTTTTAGGGACAAAATGGCTGCCTGTGAGTCAACAAAGAAAGCCACTTTCTTGTCTTTCCGTTCAGTTAACATCTCAAGGCCTAAGAGAATGGCTTTCACTTCCCCTTCAAAGTTTGTGGCTACCTTTCCGACCGGGGCGGCAAGTTGAAACTCCTTTGAATAAACACCAGCTCCGGCATGTTTGCGTGCTTCCAGTGCAGAACCATCTGTATATACATGGAGCCATTCTGTCTCTGGAAATCGTTTTTCGTTGGTTTCTAGGGTTATAGCCTTTTGTTCGTAAATTGGTGTTGTATCCTTAAAAACAATCTGAAGAAGATCACAGTGAACAACAAATTGGCTGGTGAATGGAACTTGTGTCAATGACGGGAGTGGCTTCCTTTCAGCTAATTTTAGTCCTTTTCTTTCTATCAAATCTTCCACTGCCTTAGTAAAAGTAATTTGAGTTTTAAGGCGTTGAGGTGCGGGTTCATAGTTACTCCAGTAGTTGGTCTTAAGACGTTTTAGCCTTTCATAGAGCGTAATGACCAGTTGCTCCCGGTGTGTCTCAAGAGGTACTATGCCTGTTTGTAATTCTAGCGCAGATATTGGGGTTGATCTGCTCCCTCCTGTCACGAGTCTAAGGGCTTGATTCTGGATTATGTCGAGCTTGTGTAATATCGCGTCCGAAGCAGTGATAACAAGTTCTGCTCCATATTCAATAACAGGGCGGACATATGTCTTGTAGGTAAGAGCCATAACATCCCCCGTTGCTCCCCATTTTGAGCCACCTAACCTCTGTATTAACGAAAGTCGTTTTGAAGCCTGTTCTATTTGTTTTTCAATGTGCTTATTCCAAGAGAGTCTTTTATCCAATTTCACTCCAAGATATGTAGCTTCTTCTGTGCGTTTGAGCTCTTCGTTATTATGGTTCAAATTGATCTCGTGTGATTTGGTAGAGAGGGTAAAAAGTTGGAATTCCGTCTTTTCGGAATTAACGATCATCTCGTTTTCATTGGCCCACTTCTCTAGTAATTTAAGTACATGTTGCATGTGATTTTCTAGCCCTTTAAAGTCACTACTTGTTGCCCAAATGACGAGGTCATCTGCGTACAGCAGGGCATTTGTACCCGGAATAGTTTCAGTGAGTTCCGTGATATCATCAATCATGATGTTAAACAGGAAGGGACTCAGCACCGAGCCTTGTGGGAGGCCTTGTTTTGTTTGGCGATATGTCGAGACAACGTTTTTATATCGCACCCTTATAAACCTTTGATGTAAGAAAGAAGATATAGTCTTGAGCAGATATCCTGTGACTCCCTTGTCAACAAGCTTACTCACTAGCTTCTTTCTCCAAACTCTATCATATGCCGTCTTAAAATCTACGAATATTGCTAGGGTGCTCTGTTTTCTTTGGAAGCCGTTTTTTATTTCTTGTGTTAGACGAGCTACTTGTTCAATTGTGTTTCGATTTTTCTTGAAGCCAGCTTGTTTAGAAGATATTAGATCATATTTCTCTATGCATTTCTCAAGTCTTTCTGCAACGATTCTCTCGTAGAGCTTGGAGAAAGTACTTGTTAATGCAATGGGTCTGAAATTTTCCGGCATGTCTCCTTTTTTTCCTCTCTTCAAGATTGGTACCACTTCTGCTTTCCTCCATTCACACGGAATATGTGTTTTCCAGACATCATTTAAAAATTTTAGTACTGTTTCTTTGGCCATATCCCCCAGGTGTATAAGAAATTCCGACAGTATGTCATCTGGGCCTGCGGTTTTACCTTTCTTAGATTTAGTAAGAGCATCATTTAGTTCTTGCGTTTGGATATCTCCCCAGAATAGTGTATAATCTTCTTCACTCATTACACAACAATGTGTGGAGTTTGTGACTGGATTTCCGTTTTCTTTTTTTGGCTTGTAATTGCTTACTTTTGAATAGTGTTTGCAGAAGGAGTTAGCTATTTCTTTTAGCTTGCTTATTGTTTTCCCATCGAAAGTTATTGGATGGTTTGCTAAGTTTGATTTATTATTTATTTTTGAAAGAAATTCATGTGCCTTAACTCCATCTTTTCTAAAGTCCATTTTCTGTAGGAACGTTCTAAATGAGTTTTGTTTAGCTGAAATAACTTTTCTTTTAAATATAGCTGTTTTCCTTTTAAGTAAACTTATAATTGCATGATTTTTGGAGCTCTCAGCTCTTTTTCTAAAATCATCTCTTTCTTCTTTTAGCTTTTGCAGTTCTTCATTCCAGAAAGGACGATATTTTCGTACCGTTCCTCGGGGAATAGTCTTCAGGGCACACCTATATAAATTTCCTTTTATATTAGTATATGTTTTATCTACGTTGCCGTTTATGATTAATTTATCAGTGATGAGTTCATCTGTCAATTTTCTGAAAAGCTTCCAGTCTCCTTTCTTTAAATTCCATCGTGGCAGTTGCGGTTCTTTGGTCTTGCTATTATTATTTTGATTCAGGTTAAAGGTAACCACAAGGATATTGTGTCCGAAACCTGCTATAGCTGGTAGTAGGGTATGTTTTATGTTATCAGAGATTGAGGTGTGCGCCAATACAACATCAGGGCAGGAAGTACTGCCAGTGAAAGAAAGAAAAGTTGGACGTTTTGTCTCATTTCGAATATATTGTGCAGGGTTTGAGTTAAGGAAATCTTCAAATATTCTGCCTACAGTATCAGTGTTATTATATCCCCATATAGTGGAAGGGGCATTCAGGTCTCCATATAGTATACTCTCTCCATTCCAGTTCCTTTCCAACCATGTGAGGTCCGGTCTGTTTTGAGGAGGGTTATACATTACGAATATTCGGAAGTGCCGTTTGCCATACCACAAATTTGCTTCCAGAGCCTCGGATTTATCACTTGCATCTTGCCGTTTCCTAATTTTCATATCCGTAACGATGGATGCCTTAACAGCTAGCATAATACCAGATGCAACTTGTCTTGCTCTTGGGAGGAAATATGTTTGGTATCCGTGAATTCGGTGCATCTCAGGTTTTTCAGTTGCCGCTCCTGCTTCGACGATCGCACATAAGTCTACATCACTTTCTGTCACTATACGTTTCAATTCGGTGAATTTATCTTTGGTTAATCCGCCTGCGTTCCAAAAGATAGCTTTGAGTTGAGCCTTGCCTAAGTCTTTAGAAAGCTTGCGAGCATTTGGCCGTTTTTGATAGGGCCTGGGCATGTTTTGCTTTGTATATTGGACTGAGTTGGCGATAAATGTGATCGTTTACTTACCGTGTTTACGGGTTATCCAGGGGGCACGTGGACTAACTGTCCGGACGCGATCACTTCACCCTTTAAATAGTTTTTATTTTATTTTATAAAAATAAAACTATCTATTTTATGCTTTTAGAACATATCCCATTAATTGGAATCACCTTTTATTTTTAACTATGAAGGTGATGCTTTAGATACTTTAGATGTATAAATGTCTAGAAATAATAAACCATTGTGAAATAATTTGCAGCGTTTTTTATATAAATACATATTTTTGACTGCTTAATATTCATTTTATAATGTTATTATTTGTTCTATAAATGTGCTAATGGCTAATAGTAAGTCTTCTGAAAGGATTTTTTATATATATATTTTTTTTTCAGATGAAAATTCAAAATATATTGTAAAAACAGAATTTATCCCTGAAGAGGTGAAAATTTGGATAAATTTAAAATATACTTTTTTAATTGTTGAGACTTAAAAAACCTTATTTCTACTGATATTTAATAAAGTATCTTTCAGAAGAACATCTTTCATAAGAAATAAGTACCTAAATTAATACCTTTATTCATAGTTCTATATTTCAACACTGCAATCACCACCTCCGGAATCAACTTACTCACTGCCTGCATAGATAACTTTTTCAACTAAAAATATCACTAAAATAACATTACTCAAAAATGTTGAAATTGGAGTAAGTTAGAAAGTTGGGTGGTTTATAAAAGCAGATGGAGTGACTAAATTTTTACTTCTTACCGTCAATATATTAAATAGACATTTTGTAATTATAATGGTCTTAATGATTTGTTATTTGTAAGCTTTTAAGCTTTAGCTCCGTTTAAAATGCACTTCAAAAAATTTAATAATACCCCAGCATTGCCAGAAAATAATTTCTATTCAAAGTAGAGCGGTAAGTCAAAGTTGTGTGTTGCGCTCACCACATTTTTTTGTTATAAAGTTGTTTTCCATTTTATGTCTATTTTTTTTTTCAATCAAGCATTCCTTCTCTCTTCAAACAAATCTCTTTCCAACCATTTCTTTCTCCATTTCTTTTTCAATTAGTGTAATAAATATATATGACTGGCAAATGGCTAATGGCTCTTCAGTAGTTATATAAATACTATGATAGATAATAAACATTAACTAATCAGTCAAAAATATTTATGTGAGCTGACGTTTTGACCGGAATATTTGAGCCTCAGGGCTTACATTTTACCTAAAATACAAGAGATACAGATATATACAAAGTAAAAATAAATATTAAAAGCAAGTTATCTACTTTTCTGTTTATCAATCACTTCTGTATTTCAACTTTGTGAATATCTATATCTCTTTTGTTTAATTCCTGAAAATAGCTAACATTTTAAGGTCGAAACAACGGCTTACATAATTAAATATTTTTTAATGATTTCTTGATTATTTATTATCCAGCGATAAACCTCCATACTGATAATGTAATGTACCATCTCTTATGTAAATATTTTGAGTTCGAGTCCCGGCTCCTATTGTCCGACGTGTCGAGTCTCTGCAATAAATTAGTAACAAAACCCTCTTAATTAGGAATTAAACAAACCATGTTTGTAAATATACTACATCATTGTATAGTTTCTATATATGACATAAAAATGACAAATTTTATGTATAATGGATGCTTTCAAAACTATATTATTAAACTCATTTATGGGATTGCCTGGTAATATATATTTTTTTTTCAGTATGTCCGTTTAGCATATGACACTCGACCAGAATTAATCTTGCAGTTATTTACTCGAGAATGGAACCTTGAGTTACCAAAATTATTGATAACAGTTCAAGGTGGGAAAGCAAATTTTGAACTACAATCGAAATTGAAAAAAGTTCTTCGGAAGGGTCTTTTAAAAGCAGCAAAAACCACTGGAGCATGGGTCTTTACAGGAGGGACAAATACAGGTTTGTCTGTTGTTATTGTTTATTTTAATTTTATAAAACTTTTTTGAATAACCAAGTAAGCAGACATTTTATGTGAAGTGCCTTACTTCTTATCAATTGCTAATACTTTCACTCAGGAGTACCCAGAAGGAAGTTGTGTGACACAAGCTGCGCCATCCAAAATTTTAGGGGTGTACATTTTTATAAAGTTTTGAATTTTATAGAGAGAGGAACACATCTCGATGGAATAATGGATTTTTTAGGGTAATCACATTTTTGTGAGTTTCTCATTTGGAGGAACTTTCAAGCATTCTTTTATATTCTACTTTTACTTTTTAAGGAAAGGAGAACAATAAAATTTCTTGTAAAAGGGGTTCATGCGTCATCGATCTAGGGAAATATAGGTAACTCTACTTACAGATTTATTCATTGTTTGTTTTTAGCAAGGCTAGCGTGATAATGTGATACTACTTTGGTTCTTCAAAATTAAGCATGTTCATCTCGTCACTGACAGGGCCGTTTTTGGCGCCCGGGTCGAAATTATATCAGGACCCCATCCCCTCACATCCTTCCAACGCGGCCAGTAGTATATTGTCTTATATTTACCGGTTGTATTTATTTTACTTAATTATACTTCTGCACTTCCGTTCACGACCGATAAATCTCTAGTGAGCTTGTAATTTATCTAACAACAAGTGGAACTGAGGTTAGAAATAATTATTACGCTAGTCGTGTATGATGATCTAACCAAACATTAAAAACAATGAATTAAAAAGTAGAAAGCGGCTAGAAATAAGACTTTTTCAAAAGCATTCTGCATTCTTTAAGTTTTTGTGCTTGAATTGTGGCGCCCCCTCGGCTATGGAGACCGCCCGGTCTTTGATTCATGTTGTTATAATGTTCATTTTTTAATTTATTATTACTGAAGGCATGTTGGTATGTTGACTGAAATTGTTTTTCCTCCATCTTAACATTATGAAAGATTTCTCTGTTTAATATTAATCTATTATTTGTGTTATATTGGTTATTATCTTTACAAAAAAAGTATTGTACTTATTAATGTAATTAATTCTAAATAAGAAGAAATCTATTGTTATTCATATAGCACATTAATATTTTATACATAACTTATTTTATTATAATTCTACTAATATTTCATGTTTTAAATCAATCATATTTTTAAGATGTAATTGAAAAATTCCAAAAATAAAATTTCATATTTCTAAAAATAAACACATTAAATAGCTAACCAATTAACATTTCACCGATTCAAGCATCAGGAAGAAAGAAAACAAAATCACATCAATGCAGAAAAAAAAACAGCACATCTCAAGTCGAACGTGGAAAAAAACTATATACTAGAAACAACACACCACTCCATTATAACTCAACACATACTCACTATGTATCTTCAATTATTATCATCATCCGATGGCGCTATGGTCTTTGCAGAACCTTGGGGTCCTCTACTATCTCCCTCTCCATCTACCTACATCTCCTAAGATCGTTTTCGGCATCTTCCAGCCAACGAAGTCTAGGCCCCTCTTTTCCTTTTTCCACTCGAGTGTCCCTCTACCATCATTTTAGGGAGCCTTCTATGTTCCATTCTTTGCACATGACCCAACCATCTTGTCCTTCCCCTCTTTATGGCGGATATAATCTCTGGTACGTTATATAGCTTCTTCAGCTCTTCGTCTTCGTCCACCAAAGATTTTCTTCAGTTGACCTTTGACTGTGAGGCTGTACTGATAAATATTAACTTATAGTTTACAGTGATTTGTATTTTGTTTCTATATTTTTTTCTTTTCTTTCTCTAACTAAACTATTAATGAAAACAGGCAATGTAGTAGGCGTTACACCACTTGTTCTCTTAAATTCTCAGATAACTTATTCAAATCCAGATGGAGAGTTTATAGAGAATTAAATTTAAAAAAGAAAAATAAATTACGAAGGTTCACCTCAACATTTATCACCGGTTAAAAAAATGAGAAAATATTATCAGAAATCTCTTCCATAAAGGTAAGCAATACATTTCAAGTATTAAGTGAGAAAAACCTTACAGAAAATCCATCTACGTCTAGTCAAAACAATGCTAAATTCAACAGCAACTCCAGTAATATCATCACAAAACCAATAGAAATAAAAATACGCTCTATATTTCTCCACAACGCTTATCATTATCAACTAATAGTTAATGGCCTAAATGCTGTATGCCTGAGTCCATTCACAATAAAATTAGCCAGCAACAACACAAAAATAATCTTACAATTATAGAAGATATTAGAAAAATTACTAAATACTATGACAAAGAAAAAATAGGATATCACGCATAATCAACAGAAAAAAATAAAATCCTTAATATAGTCATCAGAAAGTTCAGTACTCCATAACTGAAGAGGAACTAAAAACCAAGTTAAAATAAAAAAAAATTGAAGTTCTCCATATCTGACTTATTTTAAATAAATTATATCAAAATTTAAAATAAATAACAATTAAAAAAAATTACAAACCTTCCAAAATAAGATCCTGAGAATTACAGTAGATACCCCTTGATTTGTAAGAAACAGTCAACTACATCCTGAACTTCAAATAGAAACAATAGATGAATTCATTAAAAAACGCTTTACAAATATTATTCCCAGTTACCAGGAGTGAAAGGTGCAGCAGCTTTCAACAATGGAACTCAAATATCATACTAAAACCCAGACTTCTGTAAGGTCTAATGTGAACTCTACATACGGAGGGTATCTCACTTCTTAATAGCCTGATTCTAGACGAAATGTACAACAAAAAAGTTCACTTGATACATGGGCCGATTCCGAACGGAAAATGAGTTAAGACTAACTTTATATGGTCTCATTTTTATTGAATAAGAAGAAATTGTTCAAAAACTGTACTGTCAAACTGTACAAGATAATTAAATTCCAAGATCACCATCGTAAAGTAGACAACGTTATTTTTAGAAAACAGTGATTAAATTTACTAAGATCAATGTTATAAGGGGTTTTTAGTTGTCATTATCCTCCAGGATCATCTTAGAAACCCTGATAAGCCTCATCAGTCATCCCAAAACTTTTAGTTTTTGATACATTACATCTCTCTCTATAATTTCATAGGCTTGTTTGTTGACAATAAAAAGGTGGTGTTGATTGACATTCCACTCTAGGGTATTTTTCGATCATAACTCTCATGGAGAACATGTGGTCTATTGTAGTTTTTCCTGGGTGAAATCCTCACTGGTACTCGCCTATCACTTCTTCGGTTCTCTCTACAACCCATTTCATCAACAATGTTGACAAAACTGTATGGACTGTGCACAATAGCGATATGCCTCTATAGTTTTGGCAATCCAGTCTGTCCCCTATTTGTGTATTGGTAGAATGACAGCCACATTCCATTCTTTTGGCATTTTCTCTTTCATCGAAATCTCTGATATCAACTCAAATATTTCCATATGTATTGCCTCTTCTCTTAATTTTATTGCTCCTGTTGGGAGCACATCAATTCCTGGTGCTTTGTTATTTTTTAGTTTCATAAGAACTTCCCGATCCGAAGGTTCCAGCTCTATTTCTTCCTTCCTCATTTCTAGTTCCCAAGCCATTTCTTCATGGTTTTGATTAGAGATTAGAATATTTCGGAAGCAATCCCTCCATCTTTCCATCACATCATCCTTGCCTGCCAAAAGTCTATAATCCTTATCTTTACAGAAACATGTTCGAGGTTGAAACCTTTTTCTTATTGCCCTTCCTTTGCCATAGAAGGCTATACTATTATTGTTTTCAAAGTCCGCCACCATTCACTTATAACCTAAAAATTATATTTTCGATTATCCTGTTTTTGTTCTTTTTCAGTATTGATATTATTAGGTATTAATTATATTTTTGTACAATATTTTAGGATGTACTTATATTTGCCCCATACTACTACCCAGGTTAAATCAAGTTCTCCTGACAGCATTTTACAGGATAGTACATACACTCCACAGCAGGAGGTGGCAGGCATCTAAAGGCTAGAGGACTGAAGTTGTAATTTTAAGAGCAAAGTTTAAAATAAATCCTGGTCCTTGCTTCAGAATATGCTAGTTATTGCGGGATACTGGAGAAAAAATCATTATAGGGGAGATATTCAGGTCAAATAATTGTTTTTTAATATAAATATATATTTCAGGTGTCACAAGGCAAGTTGGAGATGCCTTACTTATGGAGCGCTCTCAAAGGAGTGGACGGGTTGTGAGCATTGGTATTGCTCCATGGGGAATTGTTGAAAATAATCATGAATTAATTGGTCATAACAGAGATGTTCCTTACCACTCCATTTCATCTCCCAGATCTAAGTTGGCAGTTCTAAACAACAGGCATGCGTATTTCTTGCTGGTTGATAATGGTACAGCAGGGAAATATGGTGCAGAAATAGTTCTTCGTCGCAAACTTGAAAAATACATTTCTATTCAAAAATTGCATCCATGTAAGTTAAAATATGTGAATATCAATACATTATTATCTCATTTAATTGAATGATAAAATTCCTTTGAGCAAAAACTTTTTAATGTTCATTTAATAAAAACAAATTATAACTGTTTTATTGTCTAATTCATAAATTGTGGACAAAATAAAAATTAAACAATAATTTATCAAATAAACTAATTTTAAAACTATTTCGCCTGTGTTCCATGACACAGTCTTCATGTGATTATTTTTTACTGTTTTCATTTTTCAAGTGACAGAATTATAAATGAAAATATAATTCCGTGTTATTTTTTTTTTTTTATACTGATGATTTCCTAGTTTGGTCTAAGATAGGAGAAATACTGCCCATTATGAGATGATATCTTGATGATAGACTTGGTTGAAACTCAGGGCAGAACTGACCTGGTCAAAAGCTGGCTGAAGACTGACAATGTTGGGGACTGGCACTGCTGGTCTAGTTGAAGACTGAACTGGTCTAGCCAAAGACTGGAGAAAAACTGACACTCAGGTGTGGGTTGCCCACACTACCACTATTCCTTATTCCGTATTAAAACTGGCAGCAAATTCAAATTTTTAATTTTTTAGAAAAGTTATAACAATTTATATACATATATTTACAAATATGTGGAAAAATGGAATCCAATAGCCCAAAATAGGCAGAGTTGGAGAAGGCTAGAACTTTAAAGCCAACTAAGAAAAAAAAAATTCTTTTATAAATTATGAATCCATGAATGAACTTATAAGTCTCAATTTTTGATGATAAAAACTATTCCATATTTATTGTTCCAGGCACTCATTGCAGTACACCTGTGGTTTGTTTGGTGATAGAAGGGGGAACAAACACTATACGAGCTGTACTTGAATATGTCACTGATACTCCTCCTGTTCCTATTGTAGTTTGTGATGGATCAGGAAGAGCTGCTGATCTACTTGCTTTTACCCATAAGTAATAAATTATGATCTAATAATTAAGTATTATAATTGAAAAAGTTATTTACAAACTTTAATGGTTTACTAGAATATTTATAAAATAAATAAATATTTAACCATATAATTTTGGTACTCAGTATTCAGTGCATACAAGTACTATTTTGATGATAGTGATCAATTGAAAGAATATTTATTTAATTCAATGAAAAAAAAATGTATTCATTAAATTAATGAAACACTATTTATTTATTTTATATAACCAATCATTCGAGATTAGCTACGAAAGAGTTAATACCCCTTCATAACTTCTCAATATATGTTGAATATTAATTCATGTGATATGGTAAGGGCTCCATGGGCCATATGTATAATATGTGGCCTCCATCTTATAAATTTTTCTGATTAGTGTAACTTGTTTCTATTTCTTAGGTACGCTTCCGATGATAGTGAAGAGCAAACTGTTTTAGAAAGTATGAAAGAGTATTTACTAACAACTATTGAAAGAACATTTGAAGTTGGGTCTGAACAAGCTGAACGTCTATATTATGAACTTTTACAATGTACCCGTAAAAAAAACTTGGTAAGATACTGTGTATATTTGGTACATAGTCTATGAACAATTTCTGCCCAAAATAACTTTAATTTTATAATGCTAGATAACTGTCTTTCGGATTACTGATCGTGGGGAAAGTGGTCAAGAGCTAGATCAAACAATTTTAACAGCTTTGTTTAAAAGCCAACAGTTATCTCCTTCAGAACAACTGAGCCTTGCCCTAACTTGGAATCGGGTTGATATTGCACGCTCTGAAATTTTCATTTATGGGCAAGAATGGCCTACAGGTTTGTATCATTAATTGAAAACCAAATAAAATAATATTTTTTTAAAGAAAAAAATATTATTAAAACTGTTTTAGGAGCACTTGATGAAGCCATGATGCAGGCTCTTGAACATGATCGTATTGATTTTGTCAAATTACTACTAGAAAATGGAGTGAGCATGAGAAAATTTTTAACTATACCTCGTTTGGAAGAGCTATATAATACAGTAAGGTTTTACTTTAAGAATGTTATTTCATTAAAATGACGATTGGTTAGTGGAATTTTTATTTGAAATGAATTGTTTATAAACATTGTTGGCAATTAACTTACTGGAGGAGTAGGATAAGTTTAATAAAAAAAAATTGTTAACTTATAACTTTTATTTTTTTTAAAAAGTTAATATTTCTTTTGTTATTACGAAATTAACATGTGAGAAAATTGTTCTAAACTTGTTATGGAGTTATGACCAGTAATGCATGTTTAGTTTAAAATTAGATGATTAGTATGATAGGCATACCTTATTTTGTACAGTATGGCAGGTATCATTATACCTCTGTTCAACTTTAAAGTAAATTTTGAATTTGCTGGAATATATATATTGGGTTGGCAAATAAGTCCTTTCGGTTTTTCTGTTTATTTTTATACAGATAAACTTCTTATCTGATGAATTAATCTCTAAGGTGGATTGTTTATCCTGTTTGTAATATTTCAACAACTACATCTGTTAACTCTGTTAACTACATCTGAAACTAGCTTAATATTGTGTTGGCTATTGCACTATGAATATTGAAGAAAATATCATTCATTATCGGCATATTTTGTTGTACTATTTTAAAAAAAGGTAAGCGTGCTGTTGAAGTTCATAGAAAAAGTTGCAGTGCTTATGGGGATGATGCCTTAACCGAACGTACCTGTCAAAACCCGGATTGCATCATAAGAAGATAATGCTTTCCATATATTGGGATTTCAAGGGTATTATTTTCTATGAGCTATAGCCATCAGGACAAACAATTGATTCACCTCTATACTGCTCACAATTAACAAAATTGGATCAATCAATTAAAAATAAAAGCCTAAAACTGGCAAATTGGAAGGGTGTTGGGTTCCACCAAGACAACGCTAGGACCCACACCTCATTGTTCACTCGCAATAAATTATTGAGCCTTGGATGGGATTTTTTGCTGTACCCTCCATATTCACCAGAACTATCTCAGAGTGACTACCACTTATTCCGGTCTTTGCAAAACTCCATGAATGGAAAGAAAATCCAAAAGGAACATCAAAAATCACTTGGAACAGTTTTTTAACAATAAACTCCAGACATTCTATGAACATGGCATTATGTAGTTAGTGGAAAGATGGGAAAAAGTAATATTAAATAATGGTCAATATATTCTATATTAAAATAAATTTTATGTCTATAATACATTGAGTTTTACTTCATCCTGAAAAACCGAAAGGCCTTATTTGCCAACCCAATAATTTGGGATTGGGAGGCAACTTTTTGTTCAAATATTATATTATTGTTAATATGATTATTATTGTCAAAACATATCTGAAAGAAATCCTTAAAATAGTTGATATATTCTATTGTAATGAGAATAGCCAGAAATTAAAATACATGATTTTTATAATGGTGGATATATTTCTAATTTTAGATCAATAGAGCAAGAGGAGATAGATGGGAATGTGGCCACAAATAAAAAATTACACACAGAAAGAATTTATTGTCTTCTACGCCAACTTTTTGGCCTAAGTTTTAGGCCTTCATCACTATTTCTTTTCTGAAATTTTCAAAATAAATATTTGACTAAAATGCATACAAGAAAATAAATTTTTACTGGGTGTACTTTTTTTATTTTTGACCACAACCCCTAGCATTTTCCTCTACTACATACTTTTTCAGTACTAGAAAAATATTTTTTTAACAGAGAAATAAATCATATAATGGTATTTTTATTTTCAAAAACATAAATATAAAACTTAGTGCTCATGAAAAATTACTGAACTATTGAATTTATATACTTTGAATATTATTATGTTTAAATATTCAAAATTTTATTTTATAGAAACAAGGACCATCTAATACTCTGGGTTATATTTTGCGTGACGTAAGACCTCATATTCCACGTGGATATGTTTATACCCTTCATGACATTGGACTTGTTATTAATAAACTGATGGGAGGAGCTTATAGGTATTTTTTCCTGTATTTTATTGATTATTGCTTCAAACGTTTATTTTAGAAGCATGAAACACAAACCATCACAAGAATATAACAATTGCTTTGATTTTATAAAACATGTTTTGTACTATTACTTTTAATTATTTACAAAATTCTATACAGACAGATGTATTTTTTGCAGATCTCAGTATACCCGAAGAAAATTTCGCTTAATATATGCTAAAGTTATGAAAAAATCACCCCATGTTCATCGGAACAGTTCATCTTTTATTAAATATTATGGAAATGCTAACTTAACCCTCAGTTTATTGGCAGAGACTCTACCTGCTTCTAAAGAAATGCCATTGTTTGATTACCCTTTCAATGAGCTTATGGTATTTTGAAGCATTTTATTGAATTTAATAATTAAAGTAGTTTTTAAATATTTTAATTATTTATGAATAATAATAAATATTTTATAAAATATTTGTAGTTATTAATAAACTTAGTTTAATCTTCATTGAATTTAAATATAAACAAATATTTATATAAAATATATATACTTCAATAGACATGGGCTGTTCTAACAAAACGTCAGCATATGGCTTTACTTATGTGGCAGCATGGTGAAGAGGCTCTTGCAAAGGCATTAGTTGCATGTAAGTTATATAAAGCAATGGCTCATGAGGCTGCAGAAGATGACTTGGAAACGGAAATCTATGAAGAGCTTAGGAACTATGGGAAAGAATTTGAAACCATAGGTACTATCTAAAATCCATAAAGCAATTTATTATATGTTTATTTTAATTAATTTTCTGTAAATAGTTATATGATAGAGTAAATATTTCTGAATAATATATTTATATATTTATCTCATGGTTAGAGCTAGGATATGAAATTCTATTTAATTTTATGACACAACAGTAGAAGGTACAGTAATGTGGATAACTCTTTGAAAAACCAATTTTTTATTAAAATGCTAAATGTTTCAATTTAATAGGGTTTTATCTTCTTGATTGTAATCTGATGCAACCTTGCAGACATTGTAGATGTTATACATATTTAAATTAGTATTATTTTCAATTAACAATAAGACAAAGGACCAATCCATTGTGTTGATGTTTTTTCATCCTTAGAATAATGCTACCTAATTGTTTAAATTTCACTACTCTGATATCGACCTCAGTCTTTACTCTTTATTGTTAATGTCAAGAGCCATTGTATAAAATGTAGAAAGCTGAGTGTATCTATGAAAACTGTTCTAATGTTGGAATTCTTCGCTTTTTTTTTTTTTTTTTTTTTTGTACTTTAGTTTAATATTCCAAACTATTTCATAATTTCTTTAGTTTTCTATTTAATATTATTTTATTCTCCAAAATAGCAAAATATCATATTTTTTATTGTTATCTTGCTGAAAAATATAGTTCTGCCCTTATCATCTTAACCCTAGGTGGTGTTGCAAGAAATGTAAGAATGCTATGGTACTATTTTACATCTATTAACAAGAAGTCTCCAACTCCAGGTCTAAAGAAACACATCACCAAGCTATTAAGAAGCCACCTTTGTGTTTTACTGTTGTTTGCCAACATTCAACCAAAAATTCCACTCCAGATATTCTCTAATGTATTGCCTCCTCCTGGAACCAAACATTTCAAATTTTGACTCATCTATCCATATGAATTTGTTCCATTCTTCTTCCATCCAATTTGCATGTTCTTTGGCAAACTGGAGTTGCTTTCATTTGTTTAGAGATTGAATAAATGTTTTTTTTCTGCCAATACAATCTTTAAGACTAAATGATAGGAGTTTCCTTCTGATCAAGCAAGACAAAACTTAAGTCCTTGTAGTTCTCTACTAGATTATTAAGAGTTGTGGAAATACAATAATTTTAAATGTTGGTCAGCAGCAGGACTATATATTTTAGACGTGCTTGAATGTTTCAAGTCTCCAGTTTGCTTGGTGTTTAAAAATCGTTGATAACATAGTGAGTCCCAGAAATAGAACCTTCAACTACTTTTTGAATTTCCCTAATTGTAGGCCCTCATTGATGCAACATTATAACTTTATGTCGGTCTAAAATTTATTTTGCCATTTTCTGCAATAAAAGTAACATTAAATAGACAACAAAAAATTATGAAATACTAATTTAAATATGTATTACATCTACAATCTCTGCAAGGTTAAATCAGTTAACAATTAAGAAGATAAAAACAGTTTTAAATTAAAGCATTTATCATTTATATAAAAATTGGTTTGTTTGAAAACTTTTTCACACCACTGTATTCTGCTATTTTTTTTTCCCTTTGGTTTGGTCTTAAAAATCAATTACATAATGTTTTATTTGTCAGTGTATTAAATGTTTATTTGATCTGGCTTGTAGAATTATCATATTTTTAACACATTTACTACCAAAATGAATATAAATATAAATAGAATGCACATAAAAATACATTAAAAAAAATAAATATTGTAGCACGTAGCCCCTGTTTTGATATAATAAGTTGGCAATCAGGGTGTTAGATATCTCCCACCTAGGCTTGCAAATATAAATTAAACTTCTAATTCTTTAAAGTTTTATGCCATGATCTAAGCTGAAAAAGCTTTTATCATGTTACAGGATTGGAACTTTTAGACTACTGTTATCGTCAAGATGATGACCAAACACAACAATTATTGACCTGTGAACTTCAAAATTGGAGTGGACAAACATGTTTAAGTTTAGCAGTTGCAGCTAACCATCGACAGCTGCTTGCCCACCCTTGCAGTCAAATAATTTTAGCTGATTTATGGATGGGAGGTTTGAGAACACGAAAAAATACTAATATTAAAGTAGGTTTCTCTTATATTATTATTTTTTTAATAACTGAAGAATATTTCTTTAATCTTTTAGTGCTGCACTTTATATTTTTAAATATATATATACACTGACAGGCATAAAAATTCCATCCACTTGATTTTTTCATCTAAAAATATTTCTGCTTTGGATTGGTCTATTGTTTTTAATGAATACATAGGTAATCTTTTTGTTTGTTTTCAATTAGGAATGTTAATATAGAGGACCATAACCCTTAATTCTTAATTCAATGAAATGATTCTAGATTCCAATGTTTACTTTCTATGGAATCAAAATGTTTATTCAGTATCATTAGTTCAGTGCCGTTTCTTGCAGCACATTTCTTAGTCTCCTGCTTTTAATTCTTTCAATATTAAGTTTAAAAATACCTCTTAGTGCTGAGGATGTTGCGCGTGGTGTGGCACTTATTGATGATGGACGTTCCATTAGATATGCAGCTAATGCCATCGGAGTTCCATATGAAACTTTACGAGACACCGTCAGGCGTTTTCGTGAAACTGGTTTTTACAATAGAAGGCCCGGTTTTGGACGGCCTAGGGTAACAGAACCACGGGATGACCGGTTTTTGACTTTGAGAATTTTACGAAACCGGCACCTTACCATTGTTCAAGCGATTCATCAGCTCGAAGAAGATCGAGGTGTGCAAATTTCTGAACGTACCGCTCGGAGAAGATTAAATGAGTATGGATTAATGGCTTCTCACTGAGTAACTCGGCTGGCTTTTGCTCGAGAACACAGCCATTGGACTAGGGATGAATGGAGTGGTGTACTTTTTACAGATGAGTCAAGATTCGCTCTTCGATCTCCAGACGGGCGTGAAAGGGTGTGGAGAAGAAGAAACGAAAGATATGCAGTCTGTAATTTTTCCCAGAGCCAACCTTTCAAACGTGGTTCCTTAATGGTGTGGGCTGGGATTTCAATGGAGCGCCACACAGAATTGGTTGTTGTTCGTGGAGGGTCTTTGACTGCCATTCGCTATGTAGATGAGATTTTGGAACCTCATGTGTTGCCTATCCTCAACGAAATCGGCGATCGTTCTATTCTAATGCACGATAATGCACGCCCACATGTCGCCCGCATAGTGCAGACGTTCCTTCAACAGAACAATATTGAGGTTTTAGCCTGGCCAGCACTTTCTCCAGATTTGAACTTCATTGAACATTTATGGGATAACCTCAGAAGACGAATAAGAGCACGTGCAACACTTCCTGATACACTGCAGGACCTTGAAAGGGCTCTTCGGGAGAAATGGGCTATCCTCCAGCAAAGGGACATTTCCTGACTGGTGGAAAGTATGCCCTGGCGTCTTCAAGAAGTAGTGAAGGCAAGAGGAGGAAACAGGCGCTACTAAATGATGATGTAATTAATTTCTTTAAGAATAATAATGGTTCGTTTTTCAATTTTTTTTTCTCTAATCTTTCTTACCCAATCACATTTTTATTATTAAAGGTAAAAAAGATTATAAAATTCCATAAATACTAAGTATTTTCAACAAATACCATGTATTATATACAAATTCAACTTTTTTTACATGAAATATAGATGAAAACATGAAAAAATCAAGTGGGTGGAATTTTTTGCCTGTCAGTGTATATATATATATATATATATATATATATATATATATATATATATATATATATATATATAATATATATATATATATATATATATATATATATATATATATATATATATATATATAGTATAATAATATATATATATAGAGTGGGGGAGCTCAGTACCCTTAATTAATGAGGGGGACAATCTGGAGGTTAAGAGTGATCTCAGTCAAATCACCTTCTTGCACAACCATTGATCAAGAAACAGTGCTTTTACTGAATAGTACTGAACACAAGACCCTTTATGGGTTGTAGGAGTACAGATTTTTTTTTTTTTTTTTTTTGGTTTTATATATATATATATATATATATATATATAAATGACCAACGAGCAAAAATATACCAGCATTTAACTAGTGCAACCAAAGCTTTCTTCTCCCTCTCAAAGTTATTGAAATCCCAAAAAATCTCAAGAAATCTCAAACTAATACTATGATAAGGTCAGATCTAATATATGGCTGTGAGACCTGGACATTAACCAGCACCCTAGAAAAAAGTGTTGAAAGATTTGAAAGGAAAATACTCTGCACGATAACCAGAGCGATCTAGGATCAGATAACTAACACATGGACAAGAAAGACTAATAACGAACTGCTTACAAAAACTGATCAATCAATATCCCATGATATGAAGACACGGAGGTTCAGATGGGCATGGCATGTATCTTGTAGCAATCTATCTGGAAGCCTCTATGTAACAATGAATATCTCAATAGAAGGCAAAAGACCATATGGAAGACCAAAAAGCAGATGTATAGATAGAATCAACAAAGATGCAACAGAGCTACGTGCAGATAAATGGAAAAAAATAGCCCAAGACAGGCAGAGATGGAGCAGGCTTGTTAAGGCGGCAAAAGATCTATATGGTCTTTAATGCTACCAGAAAAAAATATATGTAGCAGGTGTGGCAGTTACTAATTGTTGATTTTTTTTTTAATGAAATTTTAAATTGGGACAAATGTAAAAAATGGTTTATTCAATTCAATGTGCCATTCAGCCTGAAAGCCTCCTCCCTCCCTCCTTAGATCTGCCAGTGTTTTGAACCAATACTTTTTTCTAGCACTATCTCTCAGAAAAATTAACAATTATTAACTGCCACACCTGATTTATATGTGTAGATTTGTCAGTTCAATTGATGGATGATTGCTATCAAAAGTTATGAGATACCATCAAACACCCTTATAACATGTCTATATATCTCAAAGATCTATTATGCCACCAGAATATAAATGCATAAAATTTAAGTATTATTTTCTATAATAGATGATTGCTGGAAATGTATACAATTAAAATGCTTTATTGAATATAATGCATATTTAATTTTTTAATGACATTGAGGATAGGGTTGCCTCTAGTTATATTATAAAAAATGCCCAGAAACCCTTAATGAGCTTATTAAGTACAATATTCAGTTTTTAATCTATCTAAAAGAAGACTTGTAGATTTATAAAATAATGATAACCTTTTATTTCTAGGTGATATTTGGATTACTTGTTCCAATTTATATAGCAAAGTTAGAGTTCAAATCAAAAGAAGAACTACAATTGATGCCACAAACTGAAGAAGAACATATGACTGGGCTAGAAGAGGAAAATGAGAGCACTGAAGGCTTGAAAGGTCTGGATTCTCATAGGAGTGAACATGATGTGGAAGTTAGTAAAACTTAATGTTTATCTGTTCATTTTATACATTGGTATCTTATTAAGGGAAAAAACGTAGAGCAAGATCAAAGTGGCACAACCCATCAGATAAAACTTACTACAATTAGTTAACAAACCAACTAAAAGCAGAAATTAGAAAATACAAAATTTACTTAACTTAACAAAAAATCTTATAACTACTGACAGGCACTATGGCTGACCACTAAAAAGCTCCTGAAATTCAAAGATTGTAACCCTCCACTCATTACTGAAACTCAAACCTGGTCCAGATCTGACGAAGAAAAATCTCAAATATTTGCTCAGCATCTCTTCAAAACTTTCAATCCACATCTGGATATCCTAAATTCAATCCACCTTGAATGTATTGAATCAGAATTGGACATCCCACTCCAATTGACCCTTCCAACTAAAACATTTCATTCTTCAGAAATATCCAACATCATTCACAGATTACCTTCCCACAAAGCTCCTGGATACAACCTAATTACACCCCAAGTCCTAAAACTGCTTCCTCGGCGCAGCCATCCAATTCCTTACTTATATACATAATGCTGTTCTCCAATCCACATATTTTTCTGACCCTCGGAAACTATCTCTTGTCAAAATGATACACAAACCTAAAAATCTGCCAGAATGCCCATCGTTTTACTGTACTATCTTCGTTTTACCCATCATGGGCAAAATACTGGAAAAAAAACTCATCTCAAAACTCCTTGATCCCATCTTTGATTTTAATCACATAATCCTGGATCACCAATTTGGATTCTGCACCTCCAATTCTACTATCCAGCAATATTATCACTTGGTAGATGTAGTCTCATCTGTATTAGAGCATGGAATGTACTGCACTGGAGTCTTTCTCGACGTTGAACAAGCATTTGATAGAGTCTGGCATATGAGACTGATACGAACTCCGTAAATGCCTCCCACCTACATACTTCCTCATTACTCAAAGGTGAAAAATAGTTAGGACGCAGTCATTTTAAGATTTTTTTCTTTGTTGCCTACCCCAAATTTCAACCCAAGCATGTGGGTCATCATCAGAGCTGAAAATTGTTTTATAACATCAGAGATATGTATGTATACTGATAGTATAGAGATATGTGAGTACATACATATCTCTGATGTTATAAAAAAATTTCCAGCCCTAATGATCACAAATGGGATGTTAAGGTCATGGAGTAGGGTTTTGTTGGTTACAGAGATAGGAGCATCGACTATTGTTCGAAGGACTTTGAACTGGAAGGATTGGATGCAATTTATGTTAGAAAAACCCAGTTCTAGTCTGTAAGTCCAAATACGTTTCAAGATTGTCCTGTAGATCAGTAATTTGTTTTCAATAGAAAGTATAGATTTTCTATTAAGTAGTCTTTATATTAGGCTGTATCATCTGTTAAGTTCCTGTCTTTTAAGTCTAGTATGAGGGTTCCACATTAGTCGTCTGTCTAAGAGAAAGCCAAGATACCAGACTGTATCTGATAAAGAAAGCTGGATGAAATTTTTACAGAAGTTATACTGGTGGACAGGTTTGATGACAAAGGATGAAGGTAATGTGTTTACACTTGGATTCATTTACCTTAATGCGCTATTTCTTACACCAGTGTTCAATCAGGGAGAGGTTCATTTGTAAGTTTAAGGACACTGTTTTAGGATCTGAGTTGGTTGAAAGGATAATGGTGTCACCAGCGAATGTTGCCAGGAGCGTATCGGGATAGATAGGGATATATGGTCAACAACTTGGAGTCCTTGTTGTACAGTGGAATGTTGGGAACAAATTCCGAATTGATGGGTAGGATTTTTTAGGGATTCTATTATGAGTAGGAATCTTTTCAGTAGGATCTTTTCAAAAATTTTTGAAAGGATTCAGAGTAGCTTAATGGATATATACGATGATGTATTGTTAGAAGGTTTGCTAGGTTTGAGGAAAAAGCCGAGGTTGGAATGTTTCCATATGACAGGAAAGTGGGTAGTTCTTAAGATGTAATTATAAATATATGTAAGGAATATGATAACTTTGGGTGGAAGTTGTCGAAGGATCTGCGGAGTTAGGAGGTCATAACCAGGAGATTTACTAGGAGTGATTTTACGTAAAAGGTACTGGACCTCAGATGGATTAACTGCTTCATGTGATAAGGAGTGTGGAATTGGTGAAGAGAGAAATTCTTCCAATTTTTCAGTATGAGTGGGATGGGATTCTGGATGAGCAGTTTATGAACCAACACAGTTTATGCTGCACTGATTCACCACCAACTAAATTTTACCCTTTGTCCCAAAGTTACCCACCCAGTCTCAATGTTACCCCATCTTACGGTATATAATTTAATTTGAATGTCTTGACACATCTAATGTTAGCTGTGTCACATCACAATAAATCACAATAAAAGAGGATCCTAAATATGCGAGATCGTTACAACAGTTGTAACCACTATGACCAGATTAACATTAATAATTAATATAATTCTATTATCATACGTCAGATATAAAAAAAAATTAAATATAATATATGAAACATGCACTACAAACAAAATAAAATGCTCCTTTAATATTAACTTAATTATAAACAGAATATGTAATACATGAGTATTACTAACAAGAAGATATAGAAAAAAAAGGCAAAATAATTAAAAATAATAACTTAGCCTAAGTCGAGTCCAGCAGCAGATACAATTGGCTATTATATCTTAATTTACTGGAGTTGTAAAACAATTTAGACATCAAACTCTCTACTCCTATGTATATATAGCAGAGGATGATCGTGAACGAGAGAATATCCAAAATTATCCCTGGTAGACTAGCTCCAAAATACGTGATTATCCACGGGAGACTTGGTCCAAAATGTGATATTATCCTCGGTACTCTACGACAGAAAGCCTCTCCTTGGACTTTTAAAGCGATTTTCTTTGGTATTCCTAATAGCATTACAGCATCACAAAATAGGTGCGCTATACGAGACCGAAGACTAGTGACTCTCCACAGTAACCTGTTACATAAATAACCGTAACCATGGGTTATTAATGTTACACCACCACCAACATTTCTCCACTGTAAGGTTCTGGTATTCAGCAAATTGATATGAGCTACAGACTTATTTCATTTGTCATTATATTATCAAAAAAATGTTGTAAATTTCTTTAATATATAATATCCAAAAATATTTTTTATAAGTATGTATTATAATTATTTTTCCTTCTTCTTACACAAATTAAAGAATTAATACATACATATATATTACATACATACACATATATAAATATGTAAATACATGGAAACAATAATAATAATTAGTTAAGACTTAAAATGAAATGCCTGTTTTGTTAACAATCCAACATTATTGGACTAAAAGGTCTATATAATATTGTAAACAAGTAATTATATAACTATTACTTAATTGATTAAATGTTATAGGCATTGATAGCACAAGAACCAACTGCTAGAGACACCATTGTTACAGAGAATGGGCAAGTTATAGCAGATAATAGCAGTAGTTCTGATGGTGGAAGTCAGTTTTTGCCACTTCCTAAAGAATTTTATGATTTAAAGCCAACTAGACCTTTACGACTGAAAAGGAAACTTTATGAATTTTACACGGCACCTATAGCTAAGTTTTGGTCTCACTCTGTAAGTTCCTGCAATGATTATTTGATTATTTTATGATTATTTTTCCTGATTTATCTGTTATATGGATAATTATTGACAGTATTTTATCAATTTTTTATTATATATGCAGTTTTATATATATATATACATATATATATATATATATATATATATATATATATATATATATATATATTAATTTCTGCTAAATTAAAATCCAATTACTTTTATCTGTTTTTAGATTGCATATTTGGTTTTCTTATTCATCTTTAGTTATGTGGTACTGGTCAGAATGGAAACATATCCTTCTTGGCAAGAAATGTATTGCATTGCTTATATAGCAACGCTTGGATGTGAAAAAATAAGAGAAATAGCTTCTTCAGAACCAGTTGCCATTAGCCACAAGTTTTCAGTCTGGGCATGGAATATGTGGAATCCATGTGATGCTATTGCCATTATATTTTTTTTAATTGGCCTCTCTTTGAGGTTGAAACCTACTTCAATGGCTGTGGGAAGAGTTATGTTTTGTGTTGATATTGTATATTGGTATCTTCGAATTTTGAATATATTAGGAGTTAACAAATATTTAGGTAAATATGTAATATTAAATAATTAAATTAATAATTACCAGTTGTAATCCATAACTCTATCAATGCCACTCTTTATTATATTATTTACATGAATTAAAATTTAAAAACTTGAATAATCACTGTTGTAATAAGAACTCTTTGTGTTTTCTCATATAAAAAATGAAAAAAATTAGATTTTGTTTTCATAATAGTTTTATAAAACATAAAATACAAATGTGGATTGAATCAAATAAACTATTGTGCTTACAAGAGGCTCAATAATAATTTATGTGTGGCCTTATTAGAGTATACAATATATAAATACAGGTTTTATTAACAATTTTTCAATTATAAATAATTATTTATATCTTGATTGAAGATGTCAAAGCCATCTAATCAAAATAAATTTTGGTTAATCATATAAATTAACATAATATATTAATTAAACTTAATTGTATGATAAAAGTTGGGCTAATGAGCAAAAACCTATTTAAAATATATATAAAATAAATTAATGAACTATATTAATTTTATAACAAATACTTTATGCTTCTATGACCATAAAAAGAGAAGATTGGCTGTAATAATCTATTTCTTTTCATTAAAATATTTTCAGAAGATATTATTTTCCTAAAATCTTAAGTTTTCTATTATTAGTTAAACAAATACATTTTAAAATTTGGATTTTAAAACATATTGTTTTGTCACTACGAGAGTTTGCAGGGAAAAAAGATTTATAATGTTAACTATAGACCTGGTATCTAAGATTTTTTAAAAATGCCTAGTAAATAAAATTCATTTGCTATTCGTTTATCTAGTTATTCTATACTATTATTGCTATCGAATACTTGAACACAATTTGTTGTTTTTTAAGGTTTTGCACACATCTACATTTCCTTCTAATTGCATTATAGAGTTGGAAATTTTTAAAGCAATTGAGTTAGTGTTAGAGAAGTGCCATTTGGAGGTCATGATAACAAAGTTTATTACTAAATCTGAATGTAAGGTACATTCAAACTGTACACTGAAGTTTTCCTAAACATTTCAGCTCATTCCTTTCTAATAGTATTATTTTCATGGTAAACCTCTAAAAGCCTTCTTTATTTTATTCTTCGAGTCAGCTTTTGGACAGTCTCTCTTTTTTATTTGTCAGAGATTATGTGTCCAAAACATCCAAACAATCCAGCTTTCTCCATTAGACTTCTTCTTTCTTACTTTTGTTTCCTATTATATGTGTATGTGTGAGAGTGGGTAAGAGAAAGAGAGGGAGAGACTGAGATGTATTTAATAATGTACATATAGTTTATTATTGAATAAATAATTCTTGATTACTATATTTCAGGACCTTTAGTAACAATGATGGGTAAAATGGTCAAGAACATGATATATTTTGTTGTTCTTTTGCTTGTTGTACTAATGAGTTTTGGAGTCTGTCGCCAAGCAATTCTTTTTCCTGATTCTGATCCTAATTGGTCTCTTGCTAAAGACGTTTTTTTTCAACCATATTTCATGTTATATGGAGAGGTAAAGTTATCATTCCTATTTATCATTATAATCCCTGGAGTGTAAGTGATATAGTTTTATCCAATAATATATGGAGGAAACTAATGATTAATAAAAAAGTAATTAATATATTTTATAAAATATTTCCCAAGAATCCTGATGCAAAAATATCACAAATCTTTAATTTTTTTCTTATTCTTTTTTTGGTTATTCTAGTGAGCTGGGAAAAAATTATTTCTTTTCACATTACTTTCATATATTACTACAAAGTTAACATTTTGGGAACATCTTTCTCATCATCAGAACTATCTATTCTTTTCTATTTTATGGATTTGCTTCCTTTGACAATCATCATCATATGTGGCACAACATCCCGTTACCGAGACTGGGCCTCCTCCAAGAGCCTCTGCCAGTTGGCTCTGTCTTCTGCTGCAGCTCTCCAGTTCCATACACCAAGCAGGGTTCTCACATCATAAGCCACGCTGTCCAACCACCTCGTCCTCGGCCTTCCTACCCGTCTTGCGAGGTGCAGCTCCTCCATCATTATTTTCTTGGGTATCTCAACGGTGCTCATTCTGGCCACATGCCCTGCCCACCTTAATCTGGCCAGTTTAATATACGTGACTACGTCGATGTCTGTATAAAGAGAACTGAGCTCCCTGTTTTTTCTTTTCCTCCAGACATCACCCTCCTTTACTGGACCATAAATCCTTCTGAGGACTCCTCGCTCAAACACACTCAGCTTCATCTCATCGTTTTTAGTCATCGTCCAAGCCTCTGAGCCATATGTCAAAACAGGCCGTACAAGGGTCTTGTATATGATCAGCTTGGTCTTCTTTGAGAGATACCTACTTCTTAAGTGCCGGCCAAGTCCAAAGACACATCTATTGGCAGCCGTGATCCTTCTCTGTATTTCTTGAGCCATGTCGTTTTTGCTATTAATTTCAGACCCAAGGTATATAAAACTTTTCACTCTCTCAAACTTAAAAGAACCTACCTCAAATGGAGAGTTCAGATCCACCTCACCACCAACTCTCATATACTTAGTTTTCCTCTCGTTGACTTCTAGACCAAGTGGTCTTGCAGCTGCTTCAAGGCCTATAAACGCTTCTCTGAGAGCCTGTTCAGACCTACCTATTATGTCAATATCATCAGCAAAACCAAGAAGCTGTGTCAGGCGATTGATTATATCACTGGTCTGAATACCGAAGCCTCTTACAGCTTTCTCCTCTGCCAAGTTGAACAATAGACAGGTGAGGGCATCCCCTTGCCTAACCCCACTGCTCACTTTAAACTCTTCGGAGGCATCAGAACCGACGCGTATTCTACATCTCGAGCTGTCCATGGTCATCTTGATTAGGCGTATGAGCTTCTGAGGGATGCTTAGCTCCTCCAAGGCACAGTATAGTTGTGTTCTATCAACGCTGTCGTATGCTGCTTTAAAGTCCAGGAATAAATGGTGGGTGACTACCTTACACTCCATAGTCTTTTCTAGGATCATCCTCAGAGAGAACAGTTGATCAGTGGTTGAGCGTCCTCCTCGAAATCCAGCCTGATATTTCCCCAGTTCCTTTTCAGAATACGGGAGGATCCTCTCAAAAAGAATGTTAGAGAGCAGCTTATAAGCACACGAAAGGAGTGAGATTCCTCGATAGTTAGCGCATTCTGTTTGATCTCCTTTCTTATGTATTGGGCAGATAATGGCTGTTGCCCATTCCGTAGGCATAGCTTCCCTCTCCCAGATGGTCAGCATTAAATCATGCAGAGCTTTCTTGAGTTCTTCACCTCCACATTTCAACAGCTCTGACTGGATTCCGTCCGGGCCTGGCGCCTTTCTATTTTTCAATTTCCTCAGGGCGTTTTCCATTTCTTCCTCATCCGGGGGTTCAATAGAATTCAGGGAGTCTTTCTTCATTACTCCTACTTCTCCAGGAGTCTTCCTTTGACAATAACATTTTTTTTATCTAACATTATTAGGGACTACATATATCTTAGCCTACAATTAATATCATTTATTAAGGAATTATTTTATTATTATTAATTTCGTAATAAATGAAATCAATGGTTAGCTGAGATATATATTGCTGCCTCTGATGTGGTCTGATTAAAAAAAAATAAAAACAATGTTTTTGGTTAAGAGACTAACAGAAAAGAATAGACAGTTCTGTTGATGAGACAAATAATCCTGAAACATCAATTTTGTTGTGTTATGTGAAAGATGAAGTAGATAATAATAATAATATGCTTTATTTATTATGGGACAATCCCTTTAGAATAATCCATAATAATACAATTGTGGGATTTAGAGCCTCAGAGTTTAATAGCAATAAAATAAAATAAATGAATAGAAATTAAAAAAATAAAATAAATATATATATATATATATATATATATATATATATATATAAGATAAGGACAGGAGTCGAGCAGTATCAGCCTTAATACCTTCCTGGTATGTAAACAAAGCTCTGAAATGTATATAAGAAGGATTACTTCTCAAATAAAGCAGTATTGTTTCTGAAGCCGTGTGAATCATTTGTCAACCTTTTTTCCTTTTTTTTTATCGTTCTACTTCACAGTCGCATAAGTGGTGCCGAAACCCGGGACACTTTTATTACCCAGTAAGTAGTGAACTATTTTTTTTTCTCTTACTTTCTCAAACAGTGGAATAGAATTAAAATGGCGACAGACGGAATTCCTAACCCGGGAATATCAATTGTACCGGAAGTTCTTCAGGCTCCGGAAATTCCGCAGGTTCAAGAGATCCCTCCGCTACCAAGGGACACATTGGCGGAAGCACACGCCAACGCTTTGGAGTGGATGAAAGTAAGAGCAGCGACCACTCAGGATCTAAGGAGGGCTATAGCGGACTTGGAACGCTTCGGTGGAGAGGTAGGCGAACTGAATCATTTCCTGAAAGGTGGGGACAGTCTCATTTCTAGAATAGAGGCAAAGGTGGCCGAAGATTTGGTGAACTTGGGAGATGCCGAAGCATTGAAAGCAGCCTTGGTATGCAGAGTACGGAGAAGTGTTCTGAACCAGATACAGGCAGACGAAGATACATCATGGCCGGTGATCAAGCAGAGGTTGAAGAAGGCTTTTGGGGGAGGCCGATGGACTCCAGAAGAGGACATCTTCCAGATGTTCAGGGAGCGACGGTCGCAACGACAGACAAACGGACAGTATGCCGGAGTACTATTGGCAAAGTACAACAACATTACGGAAAAGATGCGCGAAATGATGAGCGTAGGTGAAGTAGAAGTCAGGATGGAGTTTCTGTCAACTATCCTTAAGGTTCAACTGGCCAAGGAAACGGGAAAGAGGGACGGCTTACCAAAAGAACGGTCGTTCCTAGAGTGTTCCCAGGATATGGTCGACTTTAGCGCGAGGGAGGAAGAAAGTCGGATGGAGATAGAGGAAGCTGGGTGGAGCCGAGTGAACGAGAGACGCTTCAGGTCCGCCCCGATAGGTTTGAAGAAAAGGGAACCATATACGGAAACATAGGAAGGACCACAACATGAGAAAGAAAACCAGGACCACCCAGGCCACGAAATGGACCCCGTAAGGAAGAAAGGAAGTGTCATGGCTGTGGAAGGACGGGACACCTAGTGGCGCAATGTCCCCGCACTAAATGTTTCAAATGCGGGACAGAAGGACACATTGCAAGGCAATGCCCGTATCTGTTCAGAAGGAGGGAAACAACACAAGATGAGCCGATGGAGGTCAACATGCATAAGGTGAGGAGGAACCCTAATACGACTTGGAGAAGTGGGTCTTCAGAGGAAGTAACGGAGGTATCAGAGACCTCGGAGACGGAGGAAGAAGAACCAGGGAGCAGCGGAGACGAAGGACGAAGGAGCACGCAGTGGAGCGGACAGAGAAGAGCGGCAACAGGGAGGAGCAAGCAGGCGAGGATCTGAGGAGTGTGTCTTCAGAGCGGTGACCGCACAGCGACATGCAATAATATAAGAGGTAAGTCTTGCTGGTTGCCAATCATCACAACGGGAGGGGGAGTGAGGTGCTTAGTAGACACGGGAAGCACTAGCACTATTATGACCCGTGGGGCACTAGAGAGGCTGTGTGGTAGTGAGAGCGCACCCCGGGTTCAGGGATGCGAGTGTAAATTAATTACCTTGGGAGGGGCGTGTAACGTGGAAGGAGAAGCGGTCGTTGCGCTTAACCATTGGGCAGGTAAGAAGGGGAATTTGAAAGTGCACATTGTTGGGAACATAACTCGGGAATACCAGGCGATAATAGACAAGTAGGGATTAGAGTCGAGTACAGGAATGGGACTTGGAGAATCAAGTTAGGAGGACAGTAGGAAGTAAGGAGAGCATAAGGGGTACGAAAGCGCGGATATGAGCGGTAAATAGAGTCGAGGACTGGAGGAAGTCCATCAAATCAGAATACAAGGATATCTTCTTCAAGGAGGGAGAGATACTAGGCGTAACGGGGAGGACAGTCCATGAAATACCACTAAAGCAGGAGCGAATGTCATACGTAAAGGAGAGGCGATATCCACAAGCACTTAGACAGCATATCCGGGAAGAATTGGAGAGTTTATAAAAGCAGGGGATAATAGTCAATAGTACCTCTCCATACAACAGTCCGTTGTGGGCGGTGAGAAAGAAGGGAGCGCCGGGCGAGACAGAAGAGAAGTACCGAGTGGTAATAGATTATCGGAAGCTGAATGAGAACACGATAGACGAAAAGTATCCGATCCCGAGATTCGAAGACATATTAGACAGGCTGAATGGGGCAGTGATATTTAGTACGCTGGACCTCAAAGCAGGTTATCACCAAATAAAAATTCACCCGAAAGATCAACATAAAACAGCATTCACATTCGAAAGGGGGCATTATGAGTTGACCCGGATGCCGTTCGGACTGAAGAATGCTCCGATAACCTTTCAGCGCTTAATGGATGAATTCTTGAGGGGCTTGGATGAAACCGTATGCCAGGTCTATATGGACGATTTGCTGGTATTTAGCAAGACGGAAGCGGAACACGTAGAACACCT